CACCCCAAGATTGGCCGCCCCTTACCAGGTGCCGCCCCAAGCATGTGCTTGGTTGCCTGGTGCCTGGAGCCGGCCCTGCAGCCTTGTGTGCTTGAGAAATTTCACAACTGACCTAGTTTCTTATGCTTCCTGGATCAGTGGAGCTCAGGCTAAACTTAGGAGGTGACAAGCTGGAGCTTTGGGGACTAGAGTTGCCATTTGTCAAACTTTTCATGGAATTCATAGATTCCAAAGCCTGAAGGGATCATTGTAATCATCTAGTCTGACCTCCTGTATGGCACAGGCCATAGAACCGCCCCAAAATAATTCCTAGAGCATATCTCTTAGAAAAAACATCCAATCTTGATTTTAAATTGGTCAGCAATGGAGAATCCACTGCAACTCTTGGTAAATTGTTCCAAAGGTTAATTATTCTCACCATTCAAAATTCACATCTCTCTTGGGGTCCAGGTATTGATAGATTGGTCCCGCATCACACACGTTGACATCCCACATTTAATTTGGGCAGAAGGTAAAAAAATTCCAGCTGATGGTGGTCCAAATACTTTCAACTCCAATTACCAAGGGGTTCAGCATCAAAATAAGGTGGTGCTGGGCAGAAAAGGTGTGTGTCCAGGGCAATCAACATATATTCATAGGCTCTTTGGAGACTCACCTATTGGCAGAGCTCATAGAAAGTCCCAGTGGGAGTTAAACATACCACCCGCTTCCTGGTGAGGGACCCACAAGAGGGCTGAGATAGATGCCACCATCTGTTCAATAAGGGTGAATCTGCCTTGCCACTCAGGTAGCTTTGCTGGTGAAAGGAAGTATAATTTACACCTTCCTGTGCCCAATTTTCCAATATATTTCTTTGCTGTTGGCTGTTGCCCATTTATTTCAGACCATGTGTGTTGTTTGCACAGAGACATCAGGTGAAATTTCTTTTGTGGTTTAATTCCAGCTCAGCTGAGTACCCAGGAGATTTGTAGCCTTCCTCATCATGCTAGTTTATAAATGGCACTATTCCTCACAACAAGCACTGTTTGACACACGTACATCAGGGACTCCACGAGAACAAAGATCAATCTCTTCAGAGGAGACCAGCAGCAGCACAAATGCCCGCAGCTGACTGGAGCTACCCATTATGATACTACAGATAGACAACAGTTTCCAGATTCGATGGACATAATTTTCACATCTGGTGGCCTAAAAGTTAAGACACTTAAATCCATAGTCAAGTATCAAAATTAGTGGCTGGATTTTCAAAGCTCCCACAGTCAGAAATGTGGATGCTCATCACCTTTGAAAATTCGACCACTTAATCAGGCAACCAGATTTGAAATTTTATGTCTTAACCTCTTTAGGGTATGTCTACACTGCAAAAAACAAAAACAAACACACCACAGCAGCGAGTCTCAAGGACTGTGAGACTAATTCATCAATGTATGTATATCTCTTTGAGATCCTCAGATGAAAGGTGCCTGAGGATCACTCTAAATCTTAATTTTTAATAACAAAGGTTACATTTGTGCTTTATTTCTTGTTTTGTATCACTTATATTGTCAGTTGTATTGACTGAGAGCGAAAACAAAATCCCAAAGATATGCCTGTACATATCTTTGGACAACTGAGCATCAATTAAATGTCAAACATGAAACTGCATGTCTCTCAAAACTGTTGGAGCATTTTTTCTGTGTGATTTAATTTCCTTTTTCCTCAAAATCATGAATTTTTCCAACTGACTCTCAGTAGTCATTTATACGTCGTTTCAGTTAAAAGAGCAACAACCCACAACCCTCAGGGGGGAGGAACTTGGCTCCCTTACACTACTAGCAACCTTTGACATAATTAGCTGTGACAAATTGATTTAAAGTGTGGCTGCAGGAAGAGGAGTAAGAACGCTCTGCTCTGCCTTGTGGGCGTTGTAGTCTTTCCTCTTGCACATGCCTGGGCTGCAATAAGAAACTGGACTCTAACTCCCATAGTTCCCATTAGATTATACCGCACAGGCTCAGAGTCCATATGCCTGGAGTGGGTGGCTACATTGTGTCTATTGTATGGGTTGATTTTTGTTTTGTTTTGTTTTTTTGGGCTGGCATTTTGTACATCACGGGAGGTTTAAATTGGAGTGAAAAGCATGGCTGATGAGCAAGAAATCATGTGCAAACTGGAAAGCATCAAAGAGATCAGGTATGTTTTCTTTTGTGCAGCATCAGTAACACTAAGCTATTTTCCCTCTCCTTGAAGGAGTGAATGAGTTATACCGATTTGAAGAAGCTACTGTTATGTTACAAAATAAAATAAAATAAAATAAAAAAAAAACACCCCAACGAAAAACCCTGGGATGAAAGCTGGAGATAATTTTTTAAAGTAGGAAAAGAAGCATCTGCTGAGAGTGGGTGCCGTGAAACATGCATTACAGGGCGGTGATTGTCATGTATTTCCAGGGAATTAGCCTTAAGTAATAAAAAGGGGAGGGAGGTGGCAGCTATGAATGGACAACTGGAGATCTGTTTTAAAGCAGTTGTGGTTTTTAATTATTATTTATTCCGGTAAACTGTTAGGATTTTTTTTTTTTACCCATTCATTCCTAACATTCTTCTGGTTGGCTGCATCTAGGAAATTTTTGAAGGGAGGTGGGGGAGAAAATTACAGAATATAATGTATGTAGGTGAGCCAAATATGCATCCAGAGCACAGAAGCTGCTTTGAAATCAGGGAGGTGGGGTTGGGAAGTGATTTTTTTTTTTAAAATAACATTTATTCATTTGATTGGAATCACTTATAATACCCTGCAAAAGTGTCTGCATAGCTAATGCTTTGGGTAATATGCGTTGCAACAGTGTTGTGGCTTGCAGAGGAATTTGGGGGGTTCTTGTGGGGAGGGATTGAAAGGAAAGAAAACTGCGTCTTGGGAGATCTGTTTAGCCAGCTTACTTCTCTCTCTCTCTCACCTCCACTTGGAGAAGGAGTTAGGGTTAGGGGTGTTGTGTGAAGTCAGACTGGTGAATGTTCTTTTCCCTGTTCCCTTCCTGTTGTTTATTGTGGTCCCCTCCTCTGAAGGAGTTATTGGGGGCATAGGGTGGAATGAGGATGATGATGATGATGAAGCAGGGACACAATGGCACTAAGGCTGCTATTGCTTTCCCTTAAAGAGGTTTACCAGCAAGGCAGGAAGCTGAGTCTCTCCACTCTCCAGTGCAATCCAATATACCATTAATTTTTATATAGTGGCCTTCATAGAGTGAATCACAGGACATGTTGCAGGAAGAGTCAATCATAAGCAACAATGCATGGCACCAGGGTGGATTGTTTTGTCTGGCTTTAAATGCTCAGTTTGCGCCTTTTCGTTTATGAACATGATGTTCTGGTTACTGCCCGAGTTGCGTGCATTTAGCATGAATTTGTGCATTTAATAGCAAAAGCATGTAATAAGGAAAGTGCAATAATTTTGAAAGTAGCTGGGCGGAAGAACAAATAGCTGTGACTGGGATATATATGTAGGTATTTATACCATACTCATCAGCATGGTGAGTTGTGTTTTTATATTTTTGTATCAGGAAAATGTAAGAGGTTATCTGTGGAGTGCGGGTGGGGAGGGGGAAATCAATAAAATAAAAAATGTCACTGTAGCATGGTCAATCGATTGAGAAAAGAAACTGAAATCAAACCACAGAATAAGCAACAATTAAATTACTATCGTTTTTATAATCATTACACCTTTAACAAAATCTCCTAGTTGGAATACTGTCTGACTATGTAAAAGCAAATTATTCTACCATGCAAGGGCCAAGTCCTTCCTCATGCAAAGACTGCTCACATGAATAATGGTGGCAAGACCAGGCCCCAAATTATTTTTATGTATAGCGTACCAAAATACATATAATGAGACAGGACAGTGAACATGTTCCAGATTAATACTGAGGCTCTGAAACTTCTGTGCTCAACTGCCATAATTGTCATCTTTTAAAACAGATCATCAGCCAGCTAGAAGTTCTGTTGAGACGTGATTGTTGTAAAATGGGATTTAAATATCTGATTGATTTTCTGCTTGGTTGTTACAATACTTTGTATTTGGGAACATCAAGTACATTCAGTTTTTTGATTCAAAGGTGAATTTAACTGTAATTATTTAATTTGACACATTTTGCTGTTGTAGTTATTGGCCTTGTTGTAAATTATGGTGCCATGAAAGCGAAATGAAGATCTGTGAAATCTAAGAATCCTTCTACATCAAAGGGCTAAATCCTGATTACCATATTGACCTAAATAGACAGTCACATTTAACTGGGACAGATCAGGTGAATAAGGCATGTTGGTTTTGGCCCAAAATAGGCCAGATAAGAAATCACAAGCTCTGGATATTTTTACTTTTATGCCTGATTTATTTTAAATTACATAAACAAATTTTATGTGCTTAAAAGGTTCCACCATACTCTAATTCAGTGGTTCCCAAACTTGTTCCGCCGCTTGTGCAGGGAAAGCCCCTGGCGGGCTGGGCTGGTTTGTTTACCTGCCGCGTCCGGAGGTTCGCCCAATCGCGTCTCCCAGTGGCCGCGGTTCGCTGCTGCAGGCCAATGGGAGCTGCTGGAAGCGGCACGGCCCGAGGGATGTACTGGCAGGTAAACAAACCAGCCCAGCCCGCCACTTTCCCTGCACAAACGGTGGAACAAGTTTGGGAATCACTGTTCTAATTGCTGTTTATTTTAATTTGTACTCTGTCTGCCCTGTTCCACCTGCAGAGTTAAAAGGGCCTTTATAAATAAAATCACTAGCTGAAAAAAGCAAAATTTGCCCTATTGTTTTCTTTCACTTGATGTCTCTTTTGGAGATGAAGGGTGAGACCCTTTCCTATATTACGCCAAACTTTTATATTTATTAAAGGGACTTTATTGGGGTTTCAGGGGATGTCAGGGCCTGATCCTGAAAACACTTCTATACATGCTTAATTGGAAATCAATGGGATTACTCCAATCAGTAAATTTAAGTATGCATGTAAGGCCCCAATCCAGCAAAAACTTATACATGTGTTTGACTTTATGCACTGAGTAGTCCCATTGCTTTCGGTGGAACTACTCTCAGTGGTCAGACTAAGCACATATGTAAATCTATGCAAGATTGGGCTCCAGCATTCCCCCTGGGGAGAGGATGAGTGAGAGAGAGAATGAACCGCCCATGATAGATGGTAGTCACTTCCTGAGGACACTCAGGCCTGGTCTACACTAAAAAGTTAGGTCAAAGAAAGCCACCTTAAGTCGACCTGTTAAAGTATGTGTCTACACTGACGGGTCCTTTACGCCGACCTACATCGCCTCTAATGTCAACTTCTGTAATCTGCTTCTGTAAGAGGCGTAGCGCTTAATTCGATTTTCATGGGTAGACTGCGAGGTAGTGCAGATGCAGCGTTGTGTAATTCGACTTAATTGGCCTCCAGATGGTGTCCCACAATGCTCATCTGTGACCGCTCTGGAGATCATTCTCAATTCTGCTGCACTGCAGCCAGGTACACAGGAAACAGCCCCTCCCCTGCTAAAGCCCTGGGAATTTTTGATTTCCCATTTCCTGTTTGATCAGCATTGGGAGCATGCCAGCTTGAGCACAGTTTGAGTACACCCCAAACGCGCTCCAGCATGGTCTGCACAGGAAGTGGTGGATCTCATCGCTGTGTGGGGAGAAGAGTCTGTGCAGGCAGAGCTCCGATCCAGCAGAAGAAACGCTGATATCTACGCAAAGATCGCTCGTGGAATGGGGGAGAAGGCCTGCAGGAGGGACACACAGCAGTGCCGTGTAAAAATAAAAACTTCGCCAAGCGTACCAGAAGGCAAGGGAGCTGAACAGTCATTCTGGTGCTGAACCCCACACATGCCAGTTCTACAACGAGTGCATGAGATTCTCGGGGGTGACCCTATCAGCACCCCCACAGGCAATGTGGACACCTCACAGATGTGTGAGTCTAGGGACAACAAGGAGGATGATATGGTGGATGAGGAAGAGGAGGAGGAGAATGGGAGACAGGCAAGCGGTGGATCCATTCTCCCCAAGAGCCAGGAAATATTTTTAACCCCGGAGCCCTGTGGGTCGCAGGACATCATGGTAGCCGACCGTGATGCCGGGGAAGGCACCTCTGGTGAGTATACAATTACAATGAAAGTCCAGTTAAACTTTAGCGGGCACACACATTCGGTGGTATTGCATGTTTACTGTGAAGAAAAAGCAAGGTGCTGTAATTCTCTGCTTACAAGAGGCCGCTCCAGCTACGCAGACGGTGACTCCCGGAAAAGACTGTTTATGTGGTCTGGGATAGCCCAGGAATCCTCCATGGATCTCTCTAGGAAACTTTCATGGAATTACTCTGCAAGCCTTTGAAGAAGGTTTTTGGGCAGGTCAGTCTTATTTCTTCCACCATGGTAGGACACTTTCCCACGCAACTCCTGAATTAATTCTGCTGGCATCATTGCGGTACACAGCATAGCAGCATAAGGACTGGGTATATACCCAGACGCTTGCAGCATCTCCTTCCTTTCCGCCTCTGACCCTCAGGAGACTGATATCACATAGGATCGCCTAGGGGAAACGGGGGAAGTTCTCATTAAAAGTGCTCTTACAAGAAAAAAAGGGGCATGTAGACCCTCTGCACACACACACACATTCCAGATCGCCAAACACACGGCCGCTAATGTGCCTTTACTGTGCTCGGCATGGGTTGGCAAGTAGGTTAATGTGGCTGATAGGGGACTGGGGCCCCACATGAGAGATTCCGCAATTTGGGAGTGAAAACGTTCCCCCTCGCCCCACTCGTAAACAACTTCCAGTGGTGCTATGGGGAAGGCCCATTGTTCGACTAGCTACCTCTGCTGCTGACATGAGCCTGCCATAAACTTCATTAAAAGTGTGGTCACCCATGACCCGGGGTGGGGCCTACTCACCATGGCTGGAGCAGCAAAACAGCACAGCGAACGGTTACAGATTCTGATTATGTTATGGCTTGCACCTAGTGTAATAAAGGTGGGTTTTTTTGTTTTTTTTTTTATGAAAGCGGCCTTGCTATGGACACATTTTATTCATGTACAATGGCTCCTTTATTTTTTCCCATTACTGACAGCTAGAAGTGTGTCCTTCGGCATTTCATCAACACCTGAAAGCAGACTTTTGGTGATTAGAAGGAGGAGAAAGAGAACGTGGGAGGACATG